AATGTATCTAGCAGGCCATCTCAGGGCATTTCTATATTTGTTACTATTTGCTACAGGAGGAAGCTTCTGTAAATGGCTGCCTGAAGCACAGATCTATGAACATAGCAGAATATCATTAGAAGTCATTTTATTGGTATGTTATATTTGTCTGTTTGTTTGTTTTAGGACAGTAGTATTTAGTTTTAGCCTAGGACCCTGAGCTATCTAGTTACCCAGGCAACTAGATATGTTATATCTAGTTGTTGTTACATGGGTTTGATCACACAATATTGGTTACTGTGTGCCACCATTGCCCTAGTATATCTTTCACAGTCAGGCCACCATTGTAGATCAAAGAGTTTTTGGCTGGGTTGATGTTTACATTTCTCCATTGGTAGTGTCCAGTGTCCTTTCTTGTAACAAAGATGCTAGCAGGTAGAAGTGAAGGCTCTATTTAGACATTAGCTTATCATCTTTATCATAATAGACAGAAATCAGAAACAAACTGTATGTCCATCAACAGACAAATGAATAAAGAATTATAATATATCTACACAATGGAGTGGTATTCAGCAATTTAAAAAAATTAAATCACAAATTTGGATGTAAATGGGTGGAATTAGAAAAAAAGTCATTCTAAGTGAGATAACCCAGATTCATAAAGACAAAAATGTTAAACATTCACTTACATGTGGATATTAGCTTTTCAGTCAATGATAACCAAACTATAATCTATAGAACAGAGATTAAGTATACAGTAAGGGATTGAGGAGACCGATAGATCTCCCTAGGAAAGAGAAATAAAATAGATATGAATACATTGAGTGCTTGCTGGAATTGGAGGAACAAGGGCAGAGGGGGAGAAGAGAGGGAGATGAAGGAAGAAATGAGGAGAGACAACTATAATTAGGAGCCATTTGAAGGGCAGTATTAAAACCTAATACAGTACAATCTTCCTAAAATATATAAAATGTATTAATATATAAAGGTGCTCTAACTTAAGTTGCCAAGTAATGGGAGATTCAGAGCCCCAATTAGCCCCCTCTTGTTGTCAACTAGAGCTTCCAGTAGTAGGATTCGCTATCATCTAACATGTTGACCAAAGAGATGCCATTAGCGCCTTCAAACCACACAGTCTGTTGCCAAACCTATAGGTTGTTCTTCACAAACATAATACAAGGCCACTTCCTGAATACAATGCTTATTTTATTTCTTAAAAATTCCATACTTATATAAAAACTATCTTGGTCAGCACATGTAATCTTCAAACATTGAATCTACCTCTCTCTTTCCTTAATATGCCTTCCATCTTCCTTAACATTTCATTCTACTTTTAATATAATACAGTAAGTCTAATAAACGCTACTCATATGTACATGGATGTGGGATCATCCATTGTGGTATGAATAACAACTCTCTACAACATTTTCCCACCTACAACATTCATCAACTGCCTAATGGTGTCTCATTAGTGGATCAAGCATGAGGATCCCCAATTCAATCTATGCTGGAATTGTCAATTCACTTGATCTTCTATAGAAAATTTACAGTGATTGTTCTTGTTTATTATTTCCCTTACAATTCAGTGATGCTTCTTGATCCAGGGAAGTGAGTAATATAAATGTTCCATCTATGACTGAATACTCGTAATCCCTTGTCACTTATTTTAAACATTTGAAACAGTTATTAGTGTCTTTAGTGACCTCTACACTCTGAAATAAAACCCCTTTCAGATTAGAATTGGAAATAATACAAACCAATATATACAAATATAACTATTTAGAAGGAAGATTGATGATATGATTCTGTATAATATGAAAATATTTTCCATTATAAGGTCTGTCTTTCATCATCATCAGTACTTTGTTGATCTGATTAGAATAGCGTCAAAGACTCACATATTTCCGTGTTTCCTCAGTTGAAGAAATTATTTGGGATAGATTGGGAGGTGTGGCCTTGTTAGAAGAGGTGTATCATTGGGAGCAGATTTTGAGGTTTCAGAAGATTGTATCATTTCAGTGTCTTCTCTGACTCCTACTTGTAATCAGCTATGTGAGCTCTCACCTTCAGCTTGAGTCCACAGGCCTGCTGCTTTATCCCATGTTGCCCTTCCACACTGGATGGTACAGTAAGCCCTAGATAAACCCTTCTATAAGTAGCCTTGGAAATGGTATTTTATCACAGCAAAAGAAAAGTAACTAATAAAAGAGTAGATAGATATGATACTGTTGCTATGATATGCCTGAACATGTTATTTTTTGGAGGAATGTGGAAAATTTGGGACTTTGGAATAGAAAAGTATTTGGATACTCTAGGCTTAATGGACTTTTACTAGAAGTACAGAAGACAGTTCAGAGAGCTATAAGGACAGTAGAGTTTCATTTTAGAAGGTTTTAGGGGGAAACGATTTTAACAACAAGGCTAGAGTATTTGACTGCTTTCGACTGTTATCCCACAAATTTGCCAGACATTAAGTAAAACTCAATTAACTAATATATTCATCACAACAGATTTGAAACCGAAATAAGAGAGTGTTTGGTATCATAAACAGTTTGTACTAATAGTCATAGATTGCTTGGCAAGTAATTATCATATTATTCCTTGTTCAGTTCTGGTCAAGACCTCTGCTGACATCTCTGCTTGTGGTAGTTTGAAGGATAAATTTGCTCTGTTGACTTGGATATTAAAATACTAGTCTCTCAGTTCAAGGTGCTGTGAGAGGGGTTAAGATATCTTGCCTTGCATCATCACTGGGCCTAAACTTTGATTTTATAACCTAGTTCCACTTCAAATTTGTTCCCCTTCTTTTGTGTTGTGATTGAGTATTTGCCTATGTCTTGTTTCCAGAACTCCCTGGCATAAGGGATTTGTTTTTAACAAAACAAAACACACAAAACAAAACAACAACAACAACAACAAAATCATCTTATAGGCTCTTTGTGAATTTCACATCATACACCCCAATCCAACTAATTTTCCTCTCCCCTCATACCTGCCTTCTACCCTTCCAACTTCACTCCAACAAAGTTAAAGTTAATCTCATTGTAGAAGCTGTTGTGTGCCACAGTGTGTCCCATAGTATACCCATTTTTTTCTCCATACTTTTTTGCTTGCAAATCATTGCAATGACTTATTTCACTACTCTGACTTCTATATACTACTATATAGTAGTATATATACTACTATATCAGTACTACTATATCAGTACTGATATAGCTACTATATATGGCTACTATATCAGTACTGGAACCTCAATGGTTCTATCCTGTTGTTGCCTCATAGATATCATAGATATCCTGTAGTTTCGCATGTGTAGGGCCAGACATTTCATGTACTCCAGCAATTCATTTATGGAAAAGATGTTCAAAACCCTGAAACTGGGCCTGAGTGGCACCTGAGCAGGTCAGCCTTCTGGTTTTACTGCTTTTATACCCTCAGGGCTAGCTCACCTGCAACCCCTACAACCAGAACAAGCTCTAGTCTGCTGTGCAGGTGAAGACCCTACCATTTCCCTGAGTGTTTCAGATGTTGAGTGGCATGGCCCACTCTCCCAAGACATGGTCCTAACTCCATATGCTATCTTGCATGGCATATGTGGCAAGGAACAAAGGAGAGGAGGAGTATGTCTTTCTCTTCTCCTAACCACCACACAGCAGACAAGAGACATTGCCAACTCTCCTATGCTCACATACTGTGGCCAGCTCACCTGAATCCTCCACATCCAGGCCCAGCTCTACTCTACTGCCCAGGTCAGGCATATACCCTGCACTCCAGAGTGCTGCAGTAAGTGAGTGACAGGGACAGCTGTTGTGCCTTGATGACCTCAGGGCCTGCTGTAAGGGGCAAGGAGCAAGAAGGGGGCATCTCTCCCTGATCCATGTCACTGTACCAGAGGCAGGGCCAGCTCTCCTATACCGATGCCATCTGGCTGGCTCAACTGTGTTACTGCTACCAGAGTCATCTCTGCTGTGCTCCCTAGGCAAGTTGGAGAGCCAACTCTCCAGATTGCTGCAGTAGGTTAAGGGCAGAAACTGGTGCCCTGCTCTCTTGACCCCAAGGCCAAGTCTCCCACCTGCAGCAGGTGGTAAGTAGCAAAGTGTTGGAAAGGAATTTCACACCCTCATCCAGATCACAGCACTGCAGATGAGTGGCATGTCCAGTTCTCCCACACTCATATCCCCACTCTGGTTCACCTGCAACTCTTGAAATATGGGGTGTGGTGCAACTCTCCCAATTACTGCAACCTGGTAGAGGAGGTCAGCTCCCGCTTTCACTTCCCCCAGCGGCTTCTCTTTCACGATTCCCAAGCGAAGGTTAGGGACAGTTCTGCACAGCCTTCAGATATCAACATGTTCCAGATCAGAGACTGGCCTTTGGTAGTAAAAGACCACTGTTGCTACAGCGCCATAGACTCAGATGTGGCCCCCAGTGGCAGCACAGGCAAGAACCCCACCACGCTCCCAGGTAGCATCACCTGCTACTCATATCAGGAAATTCCTCACTACCTTCAAGTCTTCAGTTCTGCCCCTTTTTCTTGTGCCCATACTTCTAGATATTTTTATTTCTCCTCCATTTGTCCACTCACTACTTACTTACTTCTCTTAATGGCTCTAGCATCACTGAGTGTCTGAGATCATCTCAAGGGTGGACTCAGCAATACTACGCTCATACATTATGGCACAGAGTAGGGATCACTTTGTGAGTTGTCTGGTCCTGTAGACCTGTCAGGTGCTGGGATGGTGGTCGTCTCAGGCTGGATTCATGTGTGACCCCCATGTCTGACAGTAAGCAGGTTCGCTGATAGCCAGCCCCATGTAAGTTGCCTCACATGATAGTTATCTCTCTCAAGCTCCTCTTGCTCGGGGGACCTGGGCCTCAGATGACATTCTAGTCTCTGGCTTGCTTCCCATCCTTGGAGCCCATCCAGACCTGCACAGAGGATGACTGGTTGTTGTATCAGGATATATCCCTGTCCAGTGCACCTGACATTAGACTGGTGCTCATCTCCCTTATTTTCAGGGAATGTTAGGCTACTAATCACTCAGGTGTTTACAGATCAGAACACTCAGTGTAGACACAGCCTCTCTCTTCTCTCCCACCTACTGATGCACATGTGACAGAACACTTACACCTGCAACCACTCTAGGGGTGACATAAGAGATACTTGTACCTCTAGAACCAAATATTAAGTAAATTCATCCTTCTGTAAGTTATTTATGTCATATTGTTTTATCACAAAACAGAGACGTCACAAAATAGTCCCCATTAACTTGATTTGTAGCTGTCAAATCTATGATAGCTGATTTTTTTTAAAGTTGTCAATATTCAATTTATGATAAAGTGAATAAAATCCCAGTTAATGGATCAGACATATATTTGCAAATAGATTCAAACATGGACTAGAGTTTAAAATATTAACCAAATGAAGGCTACAAATGCTTAGCTGAGAGAATTGCCTAGGGAAGTTGCTTGAGGACTAACAGAGTACAGACTCTGTACAGCAATAGGTGAGTAGATTAATAGTATAGAGGATTCTGAGAGTTAAAGCAATGGCAATATACAAACGGATTTGGGCCATATAAATAAGACAAGAGAAAATTTAAGAGCTGAATATCTATTGGTGAAGGGAGATAGTGGTTTCCAAATCAGGACAATAAAAATACACTGTCCCAGGTCTGTACAAAATTCAAAGCTTGTGTGTGGGTTTTCCTAATAAGTCAATGTTGCTTTACTTATTTTAGGACAAAGATCACATTTATAATAGGTTTTAATATTTCACATGAACTCTTGGGTTTCATGCATTCAAGCTATGTGTTCTATCCCTTAGCTACAGTCTGTAGTGGAACAGCACTCCAGGTAGAAGGACTTCCCTAGAGTCCTATCACCTACCATTGGTACTAAGAAAATTAACTGAATGACTGGCTATTGAAGACCTTACAACATTTTTGACAAGATATCTTAAAACTGATAATAAAAATCTCTGAAATCATTTGAAGAATATATTGGATTTATGTGGGAAAATTCAGTATAGTGACAATATACAACTCACCTAATGATGTTGACTAAAAAGTGGTTATTAAGACAGTAGTGAGGTAAGCATCTGACTAATAAAGGAATTTTCTTTCTTTTAAAAAAGAGACAAACCACTGAAATTTAGAAAATAATTAGGTATTATATTCTTGACAGAACAGAGCAGCATCACGTATGAACTTACAGTAATTAGAGCAGTGTGCCAGACAGCAAATTTTTATTTTCAAAATAACATCAGCTAGCATCATCTGAGAACTGGCAAACTCAAATGAGAACATTTCTTCATAAGAATGGACTAGAAGTAAATGTACAGATTATTCTCTTGGTTATTGATAAACAGAGGAGGGCTCATTTCACTGGGTACAAGTGCCACTCCGGTAAGTTGGTCCCGGGTTGTACAAGAAAACAGATTAAGCGCAGCGTGGGAGATGAGCATGTACAGTGTGTTGCTCCATGGTCTCTGATGTTTCCTGGACCTCCTTCAGGATACGTCCTGGAGTTGCAGCCCTGAATTCACTTTACAATGGACTATAAGCTGTTAGAGGAAACTAACCATTTTCTCTCCACGTTGGTATTGTTCATGCTGTTTTATCATAGCAATAAAAATCTGAATAAAACACAGGAAACACGTGACAAGCCTAATCCAGACCAGATAGCAACATGGAGATAGGAATTGGGCACATAAAGCAACCCCTAGAAAATTTCAGTTGTTAAAAAGAGTTGGTTTTCTCTAAAAATATATACCTCGATAAGTAGACTTCTTCCTCAAGAAGAAGATGACACATGCAAGAATATTTCTGCAACAAAAATTAGTCTCAAAAGACATTTTTTGTAAAGAACACAAGTTGAAAGTTTAGAGAATGAGTAGTTAGAGAGATCTTCGGGGTGAATATGACCCTAATGTATTGTACAAAAATCATCAAATAACTAAAACAATTTAATAGCGAAAAAGAATACTCATCAAGTATTAATAGAAGGAATCCAAATTGTTCTCCTTAGCGGTGTGGTAATGAACGCAGATGCGTTGTATGGGGCAGATTCAAAAGACTAAAGGCAAAATCAGGGAAAAGTTGTGAACTTAATGTTCTGATGTTATAAAACTGTTCAAGCAGGAATACATAATCCAATATTTCATAGATGTTTAAAAGCTAGTGCAGGTCTGCTTCATCAATTATTGGGTTAAATTGATCTCATTTTATAGATACAAACATATAAATAGCTAATTTTTATGTTTGTTTCTCCCCAGAAAGAAAACTTGGTATCAATAAACACATCTAATTGCCTTAAAGTTATAGGATGAATAAATATGTGTTTAACATTGTAATCAAATAATATCATGTTTACAGACATCACTTAAAATCCATCCACTGGAAAAAAATCATAAAAATAAAATGTAGCAATATTTAGACTACTAAGGCTGCCTGGTATGTTGAATGAATATTTTGCTTTTTCTTGAAGATGAGATTTAAATTGTTATAAAAAATATGATGATTTTTAATATATCTCAAACATTGTAGAAAAGAAATGAAAACAATTTGACAATAACAAAAATAAAATAAGAGTTTTTTAAAGATATAATTCATCTACATATTAAAATGAAACAGAATCATGAGCCATTTGGCAAATAACATGACACTAACTGTGAGAAATACAAAGGAGGATGATTAACATGAATTATTTACTTCATCAAGGGTTGCATAGCCTTGTGTTCTGTAATATATTTAGTATAGCAAAATGGATAAAAAATATTTTATAAATACTAAACCCTTAAATTCACTGAATCAAAACCTTCTACATTGGATGCTGTCCTTACTATTACCATTGCTCTTACCTTGTTAAATTAAAGGATAATATATCTATATATACATATAGATATATGTATATCCAATATCATCATATGATACATTACCTAATAAGGCATAATATCTGGTTTTTCCAATGGGTTACATATATCTGAGGGAATGGTCAAAACCAAAGGTTTTAAATTACATCTATGGATAATACAGATTCTTTCATATTTTTATGTTTTAATTTAAAAAAGTTTTAATAAGAGAGAGTTGTGATCTCAAAATCTCAACTCTGGGCCACAATGATTGATTGATCTCTCTTGCATAGGGGCTATGTATATGCATATGAAGTATAGGTGTGGATGTGTGTGCATGTATGTATGTATGTATGTATGTATGTGTGTGTGTATGTATGTGTATATGTGTGTAAGATATATCCTAATAAATAGAAAAACTTGTCTAAAATTCTAAGATGTAGCTTGGTGATTTGTTAATTAAGGCATTAAACATCAATAATTAGGTAGAGTTAAAAGGAAATCAGTTGATAGATCATATTTTGAAAAATCATATTTGTTATCTTGTACAATAAATCATATTAATATTAAAGTAAATTTAAAATTATCACCTACTTTTTTTCCTGTGACTACTATATAGATGACAATTTAGTTTCTCTACTTCAGACCTGTCTAATTCAGTTTGATATCATGCTACATACAGATAACCAGAAAATTAGTGAACTATTGAAACAAACTCATTCTTTATGTGAAATATGAATTTTTGGACAAAGTAAAATCTTATTTGAAATTTCAATTTATTTTCACTTCTGCTCCAGTGATGAGAAGTTTCTGTTTTCACATTGTCTTCAGCAATATTGAGTTTAGAAGCAAAACGAAATGTTTTTATAGTCAAATCTAAAAGGATTAATTCTCATTATTGTGTATGTGTGTGTGTGAGTGTGTGTGTTCATCAAGTTGTCTTCTCAGTCTCTTTAACTTTATATCAAAATTCAAATTACAAATTAATTGAAATCTTCAGAATACCTAAGTTAGATTATAACTAATTTAGCCATAAAATATAAATATCATATAATACAAAACTATACCTTAGTCATATAAATAATGCCAAAGGTCAGGTTAGCATCAAAACACTCTAACTTATACATTACTTTTCATCACTAACATCCTACAAGAATCATTTTGTAAATTAATTCACAAATATTTATTGAGAACCTATAGTTGTACAGAAGTGTTGCTTTTCTCAGGGTTATTACTGTAATGTGAAAATAACTAGTATGCCCATTATGGTAGGCTAAACCCTAAACCTGACAGGCAAAAGAATCCCGCCTCAAGGTACTATAGTGCTTGTACTTTGTCACAACAGCAAGACAATTAACTGTAATACCTACTATGATGTAGTAATGACTGTTTATAAAAACATTTCTATAGTATAACAGTAGGAATTTTACTATGGATTGCTATGAAAATTTGAAGAGTATTCTATACAACATTTCTGAAGTGGAAAGGTACTTAAAGATGTTGAAAATCCCTCCTTTATTTTTGTTTCACAGTTCATACATATGCACATTCATTCCACAGCATTTATTAAAGTCCTAACATCCTCAGGTTATTTTTATACAGATTGGTAATGCCATATGTGGTAATAACAGAAAAAGTCATTTAAATTTATTACTAAAAAATGCATAACTAGAAATTCAAAAAATCTACAATAAAACAGTATTTTTCCTGTGACAATCATAATAAAGAAAATGATCTTGCTCAGTTATACAGGAGTTTTTAAAAATGTGAAGGAAAATGTCCATTTAATACATTAGTGTAGATAGATGAGGATAAGTGAAAAATACCTTCTAATCAGAACAAATGGCAAAGTAACAGATCAATTAAGAGTCAGGAGAACAATTCCATTCACGATAGCTACAATAAATAGAGGATAGATGGTAGCTAGCTAGCTAGACAGACAGACAGACAGACAGACCGATGATAGAGTAAATAGGCAAACAAAACCCCTGGAAAAACCAATAGTGTACGAACTGTATATATTCCAAAACAAAATGAGACAAGTTCTGTGTAGCATTGCAATTACTTTATAAAATCATAGCATTAAGCTAAAGATAAAAAGTTATAAATCACTAAATCAAAAACAAACAGAAAAAATCCATTCATTTAAACAACTCTCAACATACAAGAAGTATAGTGAAACTTTTCTGAAATAGAATTAATATTAATTAATGGTATTAATATTATACCAAATGATGGGATATCAAATGTTTTCTCTACATGATTTTCAAAAGGAAAATATTTTTCTCACTATTTTAATTT